ATGATTTGTAAAGAATATTATTTTTTTCTTGGGCGTTCTTATGCTTGAGTAACCACTTTGTGAGTTCGCCTTTCTGGGTTTAAACTCGTCTCCTCACGTTCATAAATTACCCCTATTTTTTCCAGTGAACCTAAAAGAATTGTAAAATTACATAAACCTAGCAATTTTATACACGACATTATTGATGTGTATAGTTTTTTGTATACAATACTTTAATACGATCATGATACGAGAAAACAGGAAGCATACAAGGGTTGTCAGGTCTAAAAAAGACTTACATACGCATAGAAATTAGGTTGCTAGTGATGGATAGTGAGATAGGTGCTTAGGAGAAACAAGTAATTTTTGCTGACTTGACTGATTATTCTGTTTAAAAATATGTTGTTTCTTGTGTTTGTCGTTGATAATGGTGGCCTGGTATGTCCTCTGCATAACAGAATACATTATGTATTGGCTCAAATTGATAACTATATTCATTATGCTGAAGATGCCGATGTGAAATTTGAGATTTTGACGCTGACAACCCTGACACAGAAAGCCAGCTAATGCTTGCTTGCTTTGAAATCGTTACCATTGTTCCGAATTCGAGTGTATATGATGGAAAATAGAATGCCATTTTGAGCCGAGTCGAGCTGAGAACCTGTTTCGAGTTGAGGTTGGTCTTGAAGACTTAATTTATGGATTAAATTGCAGTTTGGGCAATGTAATGGCAAAAGCTGTGATTAGATTTGATTGAATGCTATGTAATTGAGTCGTGGTTTCCCAACAGATGCAATTGTGATTCAGGATTACTTTGGTTATTACTGATTTTTAGGTTGATTGGGCTCATAATTTCCGCATATTTTGGAATTACCATATTATTAGTCTCGATTTATCTTTTTAATCACTAACCCAAATTCTTTTGGATCCAAAGGGCTAATTTAGTTGATACTAGTACAATTACCGATTCCTAAGAATTCATTAATTCTTTTACAGGGAGGCAAAGGCAGAAATTATGTTTAAAGAAGTTAAAATTGAATTATTAAACTTCGAGGGGTCAAAATACAATTTTACCATTACATAGAGTTATAATTTTACAATTTCCTAAGGGGACTAAAGAGAAATTATACTACTATTTTTGGGTCAACCCTCTCCGCCACTGGTTTTACAGTAGTATATCAACGGCGATAGATACTCATCTAATCCCATGTTCAGCTTTGCCACGTGTAAACATTGCCACTTTGACTTTATTTTTTCAAATGTTCCATCTTCAAAATTAAAATCAAGATGAGATTTTTATTCTTCTAATAAACTAATGATAATAAATCTGAATTGTTCACATAAACAGGTAACTCTGATGATTTTATATTTTATGTGAATTGTAAAACAAACATATTACTTAATAAAAAAGAAAAGAAAAATCCTAAACGAAGACAAATACTCAACTGGGAACGCATCCTCCTCCATTGTTATAAAAGCCAAAAAAAAAAAAACTCTCCTTCTCTCTATAATCTTCCCCATCCCCAACCATTCTTTTCTCCGACCACAAAACCTGCGATTCACGACGTTTCTGCTATTGGACAATCCATCGCCGTTGAAAATGGTCTCTGTTTCATTCTCCTGATTTCCAAAGACGATGTCCCAAGCTGACATCTCTTACAGGTAATATTCCCATTTTAAACCCTTTTCCTCGCAATGCTTCGTTCACGGGATCATCTGGGTTTTCAGTCAAATCCAGAAATCATTGTATTTTTTGATGAAATTTGCCTAAGTTTTCAGTTATTTAGGGGCCTGATCATGTATTTTTAGCAACGCATGTAGTAATTGGAGTCTATTGATAGTTTTATTTGTGAAAAGATTAATCATCAATCATTTAATGAAGGTAGCTAAATCTCATTATGTGTTGTGATATTTTGATCTTGTATTTGAATCAAAGGTCAATGCTTTTTTTTTTGTAGAATTTACTGTATTTCGTTATGATATATGCAGCTGTGGATCTTGTGGGTATCCATTGAACTTGACCTCATCCAATCGAATCACCTCCAGTATAGGCTCTGAGTATCACAAATCCGTAAAGAAGGGTCTTATCTCTTTTCTGTCTGTTGATCTTAGTCGATTCACGCAAGTCGATGAGGTACATTGTTTTCCTGTTAGCTGGGGCCGTTATCGCTTAAAAACTAAACTCCTTTGCCGTAAATGTGGGGTTCATATAGGATACGGGTACGGAGATGTGCCTGCTCTATGTGGTTTTGACTCTCCCGACTCATCTGGTGCCGCTTATAAAAAGTTTTCCATAAAGATCCGAGCTGTACAGCCTTCAGAAGAGTGCTAACAAGTTTGACATGGTGGACGGTGTTACTTCAATTATGCTCCTACCTGATGATTGCACCTGTTCTATTTTCAATTTTCTTGGCTGTAGGACTGACCGAGAATCATTTGGCCTAACTTGCCACCGTTGGCTTAATATTCAAAACTTGCAACGTCGGTCATTACAATTCCCATGTTCTTTCAGTATTGTTGGCCCTTCCTCGTTATCTCAAAGCTTTACCGACATCAACTCATTCAATTTTCACAGGATTCTCACCCGTTTTCAGCATTTAGAGTATTTATGCCTTTCCGGTTGCACAGAGCTAACGGATTCTGCCCTAAACTACTTGAGACCCTATGGTTCAAGACTGCAAACCCTATGTCTGGACTGTTGTTTTAGAATCAGCGATTATGGGATTTCCCTGGTTGGTGATGGTTGCCCCTCCTTGACCACTCTAAGTCTTTATCGATGCAACATTACTGATACCGGGCTAGAAGCTTTAGCTAATGCTTGCTTGGCTTTGAGGCGTGTGAATCTTTCTTATTGCCAACATATATCTGACTCCGGGTTGAGTGCTCTTTCTCAAGGATGCTGTGAGCTTCAAGCAATTAAGATATCCAATTGCAGGGGTGTAACCGGCGTTGGCTTAAGAGTTTGGTCATCATCCTTGGTTTACATTGATGCTGAATGTTGTAATCTTGAACCCAAGGGAATACTGTCCATTGTTAGTGGAGGTGGGCTTAAGTTTTTGAACATCGCGGGTTTAAGCTGCTCAAACTTGAGAAATGGATTGGAAGCAATTGGGAATGGATTTGCGGCGGGGCTTAAAATCCTCAGTCTTCGAATGTGTAGAAGTGTCACTGATGCTTCTATTGTTGCAATTGCAAAAGGATGTCCGCAACTTCAGGAGTGGAACCTGGCATTGTGTCATGAGGTTAGGGTTCTTGGATGGGCTTCCATCGGATCAAACTGCCATAATTTAGAGAAACTCCATGTGAACCGATGCCGAAACTTATGTGATCAAGGGTTGCAGGCTGTGAGAGAAGGGTGCAAACAGCTCTCCATTTTGTACATGAACCGGAATGGCTGCATATCGGATACAGCAGTGGAGTTGTTTAAACTGTATAGATGCGATGTGAAGATTAAGTTTGAAGAAGTAATGTCGATAGGGCCTAATTGGGGAAACTTAGACAGCTATGAGTAAAAGATTGATCATCTTTATTTGGGATGAAATTAGAAGAATTTGATGTTATGTCTTCTACACGAGGCAATTTTCATACTGCTTGAGAAACTGCTTAGGTTTTATTGTTTTGATCTCTTGCATTCAGTTAGGACAAGATATCAAGAAACTAAAGCTAGTAGATAAACTTTATGTTTGATCTATCAAGAGACTGCCTCTCCTCCACTTTCATTATTCTTCGATTATTCTGGTTTTTGGAAGATTGTGTTTGCTAATTCTATATTTTATTTTTTGGGGTTTGATTATTTATCTCATTTATTTTTAGACCTGATATGCTAAAATTTCTAAATTATATCTCTTTTCTTATTTAGGTGCTTAAATTTTTTTGGGTCAATGTAGGTGTCTGATGTTACAGACTTTATCATTTTAAGTGTTTGGTCTGTCACAATTATTAGAAACATATTGCCAACCATTCGAAATCTAATACTTGGTGTGTTTATAGAGAAAATTTTAACAATTGTCACAGATCATGCACTTAAAATAATAATATTGATAACGTTATGTGTAGCACATACATTTTGAAAAAAAAGTTTAAACACTAAATAAGGAAAAAATATATTAAGCTTTTTTTGGATGTGAATTGAAATTTTAAGTTTATGTGCTATGTATTCTTTTAGTTAAAGAAAGAACTCAGGTCAAATGATATTATTATTAGGGGTGAATAAAATTTGATTTGATTTTAAAAAATAAAAATATTTTGAATTAATAGAATTGATTATTCAATATTTAAATCAAACTGATTTTTGTTTTTGTTTTCAAGTTTGAATAAAGATAAAACTTTTATAATTCAAATATCTATAAATTGATTAATAAATCTGTGTATATATTCATGGGGTTATAATCATTTCAAAATGAATAAATTAATCATTTTCAATAAAAAATCTAAAAATAATTTTCAGATTTTTAAGAAAATGATATATTTTCACTTATCCAACTGTTAATTTTATATTTTTCAAAATAAATTAAGTATATAATAATTAATTATTAAATTAATTAAAATTTGTATAAAAAATTAATTAAAATTTTAATAAGTTTAAACTTTAATAAGTAAATTATAAAAATATTTTCATAAATATGTAAAAATATAAAAAAACTATAAATATATTCATAAAAATTCATTAAAATTCTAAAATATTCTCAAAACAATTTGAAGTATACAACAATTAATTTTTTATTTCATTAAAAAATTTAATAGATTTAAATATTAAACGAGTAAATTATAAAAATATTTTATAAATTTATAAAAATGCATAAACTATAAAGTTATGTATAATTATCATAATTTTTATTAAAATTTTAAAATATTCTTTAATAAGTTAAGTTATATAATAATTATTTTTGTAATTAACTAAAAATTTAATAGATTTAACATTAAATAAATAAATTATCAAAATCTTCACTCGATTCTACTAGGTCAAATTCACCCTCACCCTCACCCCTGATCATTGTGACTACCCTTTTTTTCAACAATAGAAAATCTATTTTTATTGCCTTAGCATTCAAAGATGCAACACATTTATGGCGATTATTCTCTATTTTTTAACACTAGTGGAGTACTTGCTATATTTAGACGATTGCACATTCTTCACACGAGCCCCACCTAGGCCTAATCATCAAGCGGGGTAATAACTGGTCCAAGTAGCTGTATCTGCCAAGCCCTTTTGAATTTCAGGTCAATCTCGAATTGTTGATCGTCAAACTAATTTTCTCCCCATACATTGTCCCATGCACCACTTGGAGCAGCCTTGGGCCCCTCAATAAAGTTCTGATTCCCATGAGGATTATGGGGTCCTGGAAGTCCAGGAGGACCTGGTTGATTAAACTTTCGGGGTTTCGTTTTGATTCCCAGCAGTCTTAACACAAATCTAGCCAACTCTCCGTACAATAGTCCCCCACGATCGAAAAGCTGCAAATATTGATGCCATGAGTCAACAGTAACAAATTTTACTCTGATTCAACTATTATTATTTATGAAAATCAACTCCAATTTGATAATTCTACATCAAGTTGGAGAAATGGGAAGGTAAACATAGCAAAAGCAGAACCTGAAGAAGGGCGGTCATAAACATGTGGAATGCTTGTGTATTTTGGTCTATCAAAATAGATACCCGACCAAAGAAGTTGACAACACCTTGCATCTGCAATCAGTAAAGAAAGCAATTATCACTATGACTCGGTTAAAATGCAACTTGGAAAATTAAAAACCACAGAGGTATAGATTCATAAGTATATGTCATGCAACAGTGGCCCCAAAAAGTAAAAGGATAAATTCTCTCTTTTTTAGTGCACACAATTCTTTCTAACCTTATATTCCCGAAATATAATCAGGCTCACAGTAACCTAGAATATAAACAGATTGTCAAGAAAGTTAAGAGTTAAATAACAGCCCTCAATTGTTTCTGACATTTTAGAGTTAAAGATTAGTCACAATGGATATGCACTCCAAGATTCTGAGAAACCTTGAACCAAGCCAGAAATGCTACTGATACCTTCCTCTCCACATGTCTATTTAGTTCTTTAGAAAATGAACAGTGAAATGATGAAATACATGAAAATTTCCTAGAGTGCATATTTTGACCTCAAGAACAGAGCAAACGAAAGAATAGGAGTCAAAAACTAAAGGTGGAGGGTTTCCATTACAGCTAGGATCGAACATTCTAAGTAACAGATGATATTGTTTACATTTAATCAGATAAAAATTAAAAGAAAAAAACAAGATTCAAGATAAATTACCACGCGGAGGAAGGATATCCAAAAGCCTGGTGGGGATGGGGGAGCACCAAAAGGATTATTTGGATCTTGCTCACCATATGGACCCATGCCCATCCCATAACCACCCATTGGACCCCCAAAACCACCGAGACCACCGCCATACATTCCACCACCGTACATTCCAGAGTTCCCATATAGACCACCATAGCCTCCTCTATACATGTTGTTTCCATACAATCCACCGCCATATGAACCTAAACCACCTCCATATGAACCTAATCCACCACCATATGAACCTAATCCACCACCATATGATGAACCAAACCCAGAGTTGTAGTTTAAGCCAGAACCATAACCTGCATCAAGCACCAAATTAGACAAGCTCCACAATAAGTAACTGTCGATATTATAATAGATAAATTAACTCTTTACCTCCATAAGTGCTTCCATAATTCTGTTGCTCCCAAGGCCTGCTGGGTAAAGGCCTACCAACAGCATTTCTATTCACAGCAGCAGTCGCATCAGCAGTTGAAACAATTTCACCTGGTCTAGCTGTTCCGGATGACTCGACCACATCACTTGTGCTGCCAGGCGATGGTGGCTTAAAGGGCCCGGAACCAGATGTGCCCCCAGCTTGCTCCCATGGTTTAGGTGGAGAGCCACCGGTAGCTGCAGTCGAGAATGTCAATTACAATCAAATTGCACAAAAAAAAAACAAAAACAAGGGGAACAAAAGATCAGTTGCAAATAATTATATTTGTTAACACCCAATCCAAGCTAATTATCCTTTAATTTCTTGACCTAATTCCATCATTTAAAAAAACATAAGAAAACCCCATAATTGAAACATAGATTAAATGGATTCTTCATTAATCGAGCAGAAACAACAAAACAAATCAAGCAATAATAAGAATTGAAAACCCTACAAGTATAGAATTCTAAATCGAATTGATAAATAGTTCAAAACACGATGATAAAACCTAACAAAGATCAAAAGAACAAAGAAAATGAAGAAATCGGACCTGGTTGTTGGGAATTAGAATCCATGGATTCTGGGTCAGATTAAGTGATGAAGGAATTTGAGGACAGCGTTATTGCGCCTCGGACAAAGAAAAAAGGAATAAATACCGACGACTTTCGCGTATTAGTTTCCTTTACCCCTATTTATTTCTTCGGCCACTCACTATCACGATGACTTTATCTTCTCGAGTTTTTTGCTTGGCCTTGGTTTAGTTAATATATATATATATGATAAACTACAATAGATATCACTAAACTTTACATATTATATCATTTATACATTAAACTTTTAATTACTCTCATTATAATTTTAAATTTTGATTTGACTTTAATTATATCACTAAGTCATTAAATTTTAACAATATGGTAATATGAATGAATCTTTTACTCTTTGCGATGACTCTAAAAAAAGGACATCATTTTGATGCTATTATTGATGTTCAAAACAACGTCATTTTAGATATTAAATTCTAAAGATGTATCGATTTTACCATTAAGCTTTTTTCAACTCATGCCAACCTCTCCTGACTCTCACTTTTTCCGTCCGCTTTGGCCCATCCCATCACTTATTATTACTTTTAAGTCATGTGATCATTTTGAAAAAAAAATTAAAACCATAAGACAACAAAAAGAAATCTTAATATAATCAAGGGACTAATTGCATGTGTTACCCAAAATGTGTATAAGCGTAAAAAATGTTAAAATTTTGGTCATCGGCCTCCCCATTTGACGGGTCTAAACCTCCTTTAAAATGCTTGATTTTGGTGCATTAGTTGAATAAAGAAAAGCTTGAATTCTACACCAATTTTAGAATGCAGATTTTGGTGGCGAATTTCCCCAAAACCACCTTACATATCATTTTTTTCTTTTTCAGGCACTGTTCAGAGTTTATTTCTTGATCTAATATCTTTGGAAGGAAGACGTGTTCCTGTAGCGCGCCTTACTTTGATCTGAAATCACGTGGGGTAAGGCGTACCCCTAAAGCGCGCCTTACGAAAGGCGTAAAAAATTCGAGTGTAAATATTTTTAAAATAGTGTCTAATATGTAATTAATTTATATTAAGATAATATTTGTCTAAAAACGTCAACTTTATTATTATTTTTTTTTTGAAAAAAACTTTCTACATTAAAATCTTTAAATTTTCTTTTACAAATTTTTCTATAACTCGACAAATTTCGATTTTTGCATGAAATTACACAATACGTATAATCTAGTATAGAAAAACTTTAAATGTAAGTATTTTAAAATATGAATAATTTTATAAAAGTTTTATAACTAGTATTTATTTTACAAAAATGATGATGATGATGATAATAAATATTTTATAATTTTAAAAATTATAAATTTCATATATTTTTAAAAATTTATTGACTTTTAAAATTAATTGTTTAAAAATATTAAAATAAACTTTTAATTACATTTGAGGGATCAAATGAATTATTATTCATTAATTATTATTTTTTAACAATAGTTAATAATGTTTATTCATTTTTAATAAAATTATTTTGATTTTTGCATTAAATTACACAATACGTATAATCTAGTATAGGAAAACTTTGAGGTTACATATTTTAAAATATGAATAATTTTATAAAAGTTTTATAACTAGGATTTATTTTACAAAATGATAATGATAATAAATATTTTATAATTTAAAAAATTATAAATTTTATATATTTTTGAAAAACTTATTTACTTTTAAAATTAATTGTTTAAAAATATAAAAAAATATTAAAATAAAATTTTAATTACATTTGAGGGATCAAATGAATTATTATTCATTAATTATTATTTTTAACAATAGTTATTAATGTTGATTCATTTTTAATAAAATTATAATTCAATATTTATTTTATGTTTTTAAAATTAATATTATAAAGAATATTTTAAATAAAGAGATGATTTTTTAGCATTACATTCTTTTTTATTGAATTTTAATATTTTTTAGCTTTACATTCTTTTTTTATTGAATTTTATTCACTTTCAATTCTTTTTTATTGTATTTTTATTGATTTTTTAAAACAAGTGAATAATAATTCATTTGATCCCTCAATTATAATTAAAAATTTATTTTAATATTTTTAAATAATTAATTTTAAAAGTCAATAAATATTATTAACCAGTGTTAAAAAATAATATGACACAAAAAATAAACAAATAAAGTTGGAATTTTTACACAAATATAATCTTAATAAAAATTAATTATATTTTAGCACCATTTTAAAAATATTTACAAAATTAACATCCGATTTTTTACACCTCTCGCAAGTCGCACTTCAAGGGGAGCGTTTACCCCACGTGGTGTAAGACACACTACAGGGGCGGACTTTAAAAATTAAACAGTATCTAACAGAGAAATAATGATTATAAGAGTGATTTTTTTTTTTTGAGAAAATCGCCGATTTTGGTGGCACTCCTAAACAATATAATTGAATTTTGTTTTTCTGTTTTCCCCTACCTATTAATATTTAAGCGGTTGTACAGTTGCTCTGATGGGTCGGATTAATATATATTAAAAATTTCATTAATTAATAAATTGAGACAAAAAACAAATATATATTAATAAATTGAAGGGTAAAGTATACTAATGGTCACTGAACATTTCTGAAGCTTGCATTTAGGTCCCCCAACTTTTAAAACTTATAATACAATCTCTTAACTTTTAATCCGTTTGCAATATGATCCCGTCGTTAAACCGTAGATGACATGGCAGTTAGATACCGTTTGCAGCTATGAAAATTAGGGTAAATCATATAAATGGTCCCACCAATTTTTTCAAGCCTGCTCGTCTCTCTCCCCAGTCCCTATTATCACTCCCTAAGAATTACTAAAACTATATAAGCTCTCCCAAGTCCAACTACATTGTTTGGCCACAGCTGGCGAGGCACTTGGAAGAAAATTGTCATTCAATAAAAGAACACAGGCCAGTGAAAGTGTTTTTACCTATCAGCATCAAGATGACCGACTTGAAGATAGAAACCTCTCCCACAATCAACAGCAATTGCCACATTTCAAATTTCAGAATTTTACAAAGACTTAGAAAGACATGTTTAGGGTAAATAAAAGTCTACTGCCACAGAAAAGAAGAATCATTAGAGGCAAAGGTATCACAAAGCAGAAAATGAAGCAATCAAATGGGCAACGAAGTGCGTGCCAACCTTTGGAGGGGAAAAAGGAAAAACAGAACTTTATTTTAGCAACCTTGTTAGTATCTCTACCGATAGAATTTTGCACCAAATATCTTTTTCCTATATTCTTTCAACTCATCTTGATTAATCATAAAGTGTATACATGACAGGTAATACGGAGGCTGACTTGCACCAATACAAATAACAAATGTAAAACTGAATGATTACTAAAACAAGAACGGTTAAGTGCAAGTTATGTTCCTCCAACTCTTCATCCTTTCTGAAGAAACCATGTCCAACACCATGTAAAGAATATTCAGACATAGGTACATGAACATGACACTCCCAAGGACACTTCAAATACATAGAGAAAGTTTCAAAAAGATAAACATATCCGTGCAGGAAAAATACTTATATCCGACACTCACAACCAAGTTAGACTAACATAGAGGGCAAGAGAATTAAGAAAACCCGAGACTGCCAACTATAGTACTATGCTTCTTGGTGCTTGAACTGATAAAACAACAGTTACTGTGGCAAATGGACAAGCAGTTGCTGCTGCATATTCCGATATTTTCCTAAAAGAGATATCTAACAAAAACGGTACTAACAAACTAATTAGTCAGGTGAACCAAAACTCCCAGAGGAGCAGTGATGTCACATCATTTGGCGAACTCTACTGTTAGAATTCTACCAATCTGTGCTTTGATCGATGGTGGGATTTCTCTATAAAAGCTATTTCTTCAACCAAAATTCTTTTGGGGTGGAATAACCTATTTATACGACTTGAAACAATTGTAATAGAAACCCTAAGAATAGCATGTCCTCAATACCATCTTGAGAAGGTCATGTCAGAATGCAGTTGAAGCTCACAAAAGAAAATACAGAAAATCCCAGATTTATCTTGTATTACACACATGTACAATGAGTGTCGGAAAGCAGGCACTTGTCAGTTCTTCAATATAATTGTTATGCATTGCAACATAGAAAACTGGCCATCCCATTTGCCTTTTCTTCTTAAGAACTGCATAAACATGGATTAACCAATCAAAAGGAAAAATCCCTCCTAGTATAAAATCCTGCTTATCAACTACTACTTTTCTTAATAGCCAATGGCTTCCATCGCATTGCGTATTAAACGTAGCAATCCCTCTATGTCTAGAAAGTTAAAATCAAGAGCCTTTTTCAAAGAATATATAACTTCCCCATTATCATCCCCAGACAAACTTGATTTAGCATGTATAAAAGCAATTCGTGATTTCCTTGAAGCTTCCATGGCATGATTTACATCCTGTGCCTGCAAAATGTATCACATTTTGTTTTGGTCATCATGGACATGGATCACTAAACTTATACGGGATATACAAGCTAATAGGGAATAAAATGACATAATCTATGAATAAGAGAGAGCCAAAAGACATGGTTCATTAGCAAGACCTAAGAACCTCTTGTGCTTTACAAGCAAAAAATTCAAAACCATATGCTCAGTTTTAGGATACAGAAACCATTAGGTGTTAGGAAATAAACCGAGTACAAGTAATTTCCCTATAACCAGATTTGTGAGAATGCGAAATAAAAGCGGAAAAATAATACCCGAAAATTGATAACGGAGTTCAGCCAATTGTGCTTACGTCTTCGGGCTGCTGCAGATCTTTTACTAAGAGAGAAAATTTACAGTTGTTTACAAAACACTCACTACTCACAAGAAAGCTCTCTAGTATAGGAAGAAAGAAATGTTTTGGGATGATTTTAAAGCTAAATGAGCTAGGGTATTTATAGTTGAAGCTTAGGACTAATCTTGTAAATACCCTAAAGTGTGCAATGGCTAAAAAGGTAATTAACCCATTTACAAATTTAATTAAAAAATTGGGGCACCGAACGGTGCCCCCCTTTGTTGAATTTCTGCCCACCCAATTTAAAAGTTTTGATTTCCAGGCGGTGCCCACCTTTGTTGACTTCCAACAATCTCCCACTTGAAGACTGATTTTAATCTGTCTTCACACCTTGATCAATGCAGCAGCTTTTCTAGTCCTGTTACTCTAGCATGCCAACTGAAGCTGAACACAGCTTCAGTTTTTCCGTGGTCACCGTCTTTGTCAACATGTCTGCCGGATTTTGAGCTCCACTAATCTTTTCAAGTTTCAAAATCCCATCTTCCAGAAGAGACCGAATAAAATGACATCTCAATTGTATATGCTTCGTTCTGGAATGAAAAGACGGATTCTTTGCTAGATGGATAACACTTTGACTATCCCAATACAAAACATTGTTTTCTTGTTTCTTGCCTAACTCTTCCAAGAAACTTTGGAGCCAAACCATCTCCTTGCTGGCTTCCGTAACAGCGACATATTCTGCTTCAGTTGTGGAGAGAGCAACTATCTTCTGTAGTTGAGAAACCCAACTCACTGCAGTACCTCCTAGAGTATAGACATACCCTGTAGTGCTCCTTCTGATGTCAACATTTCCGGCTAAGTCAGCATCTACATAGCCTGTCAGTATCGTATCTCCACCTTTGAAACAAAGTGCTTTGTTTGTAGTACCCCGCAGATATCTGAGGATCCATTTGACAGCTTCCCAGTGTACCTTGCCTGGATTATTCATGTACCTGCTAACAGCTCCCACTGCATGAGCAATATCTGGTCTGGTACAAACCATGGCATACATCAGACTTCCAATTGCTGAGGCATACGGTACATTCACCATGTGTGCACGTTCTTCCTCCGTCTTTGGTGATTGGTCTTTGGAGAGTCTGAAATGAACACCTAAAGGTGTACTTACTGGTTTAGCATCTTGCATGTTGAACCTGGAGAGTACTTTGTTGATGTACTCAGCCTGTGATAACATCAAAGTCCCCGACTTTGTGTCTCTCTTGATCCTCATCCCAAGAATCTGCTTTGTAGCTCCCAGATCCTTCATAGCAAACTGCTTCGACAATTTTTGCTTCAAGTGTATAATCTCTTGCATGTTTGATCCTGCAACGAGCATGTCATCAACGTACAACAATAAAATAATGAAGCTATTGTCGAACCTCTTGATGTAGCAACAATGATCTGCTTGGCATCTGGTAAAACCATTGCTACTTATGAAACTATCGAACTTCTTGTACCACTGTCTAGGAGCTTGTTTTAAACCATACAAGCTCTTCTTCAACCTGCATACCAGGTTTTTCTTGCCTGCCTCTATGAAGCCTTCTGGCTGCCTCATATAGATTTCTTCCTCCAAATCACCATGAAGGAAAGCTGTCTTTACATCTAACTGCTCAAGATGTAAATTCTCTGCAGCTACAATTTTCAACACCAGTCTGATTGTATAAAGTTTTACGACTGGAGAGAAAATTTCATTGTAGTCAATACCTTCTTTTTGCTAAAAAGCCCTTTGACAACCAATCTTGCTTTGTAGCGTTTTCTCTCATCGTGCTCTTCTTTGATCCTGTAAATCCACTTGTTATGGAGCGCTTTCTTACCTGGTGGTAATTCAGCTAATTCCCACGTCTGATTTAAACAAAAGCGAGTCCATCTCATCTTTCATGGAAGACTCCCACTTGACTGAATCCTCCACTTGCATTGCTTCATCATAGCACTCTGGTTCACCATTGTCAGTCAGCAACAAGTAGTGCAAAGAAGGAGAATATCGTTGGGTTGGTTTAGGAATTCTGGAGGAGCGTCTCAGTTCTGGTGTGCCTGGTTCTTCCTCTTGAACTGCTTCAGGACTGATCTGAACATCATTTCCAGAAATCTCCTCGAACTCAGTAAATTCCTTTGTTTCAGCTTCGGTATTACTTGATTCTGCGGTTGAACTGTCTTTGTACATCACATTTTCATTGAAAATGACGTCTCTGCTTCTAATGATCTTCTGATTTTCGTAGTCCCAAAACCGATAACCAAACTCATCACCACCGTAACCAACAAAGGCACATTTGTTGGACTTACCATCAAGTTTACTTCTTTCAGCAGAGTCTATGTGTACATAAGAAATACAACCAAACACTCTTAAGTGTGAAAGGTTTATTTTTTCTTGCTCCAAACTTTATCTGGTATTCTGTCATCTAAAAGAACTGAGGGCCCACTGTAACATCCCAAACTATGAGTTAGTGACTTAATTGTAAAGTTTCAGAATTTGGTGATTAAAGTAGAAGAATGGGTTAGTTCAATGATTTATCTGGAAATAAATTCTAAAAGATGTTAGTAATTATAAAAGGTATTAAAGGGCAAAAGAGTCATTTGACCAAGAGATGAATTAAATAATGTTATATATATATGGATAAGGATGGGAGATTTTCCAGAAATCTCTTCTCTCTTTTCTTCTTCATTTTCTCTTCTCCACGTGAAAAACTCAAAGCAAAGGTGAGTTCTCTAATTTCTTGATTGTTTGTTGATTTTAAGCATGAGTTTTGATCCTTAGAGATAACTAAGCTTAAGGAAAGCTTAAGTTATCTTAAAATCAAAAGATGAAGAAGTTATAAGAGATTTAAGAAAACGAGTTTTTATAGGGAATCATGGAATAGAGTTGATAAGTTGAATTTTAAGTTGAATTTGACTTGTCATCTATGAGAATAAGAATATAGAAGTGTTAGAATTGTATTTAGAACATATGGAAAATTAAGTATGATTCTTGAATTTCATATGAATAGGATTTTGAAGTTATAATGATTTTCATGGATATAAGTTAGTTTAAGTAATGGTAGTTGAGTTTAATGACATGGTAGGGGTTTAAAATAGAAGAATTGAATGAAAAATTGATGATTTTTGAGCTTAAAATATAATTTCTGGGTAGAGGGAACCGATACCCTATGAATGGGAATCGATTCCCCCTCTTGAACGAAAAAATTCCAGTATGTTCAGGGGGTATCGATTCCCCCCAAATGAAAATATAGAATTTGATTCATAAAACCGGTTTAAGTTATTAACATAAAGTTTAAAGTTTAGGCTTCTGATAGTTGTTTTGAAATGATATATTTATGTAGATATTGAGCCTAAACAAGTTCCGGAATAATCAAAGGATTATAATCGAATCAAAGCAAGGCTAAGGTGAGTGCATCTTATTTTATAGAATTATATGGAAATTGGACTTGTGATAAGTCTATTTCCTATAGTTATAGTGCATGAAGTATTGATTATAAGTATGTGAATGACATGAAATGTATGTATGCTTGATTATATATGTTGACATGTTTTTGTATGTAATGATATAATGACAAGATATAAGATATGCGACAAGATATCTGTAATACCTAAAATGGTGATATAAGTTGTGTAATAAACCATGTGAATTGATATAAATAATTTAGAGAATAAATAGAAAGGTGGGATAAAATAAGTAGTATTTACTTATAAGGTAAAAGTAGATTATATGAACAGATAGTATTGATAGGTCACATAAGACTACATGTCCATCTTTTAATGTAATAAAAGTGTATATGTGAAATGACATGATAGGTGATAAAAATCGTGAGCCTATATGAATATGTGATATATGTGATGTATGGGAAACATATGAGAACAAGATATGACAATGATTTACATGTCATATGAACACCAGAGAAGTGATATTTCCTATAATTATAGTACATGAAGAAATAAATTTAAATATGTGAATGACATGATTTTTATCATGTATGAATTCATGAGTAAAAACATGTGTGAATATGATTGGTATGCATTATGTCATGTGAACATAAGAGGACAGAGCATAAATTATATGATATGAGATTCATAAATACATGTTTATGAGATATATGTTTACACACACATATGGTATGTGACAGAAGAGAATGAACATGTGATTATAAGATCAATGATTACACATACATTTGGTACACGACTGAAACGAAAAGATATATGTTCATAAGAGAAAGGATATGAATAAGTAAATTGACTGTTAGAAATGATAATGCCCATGGTATATGATAAGAGAGCTAGTGATATAGTTGGCATGCCAAGAGTTGAGGGTATACCTATGTTCTAAGGAACATATGGACAGAATTACCTATGTCTTTCGAGACATATGGACAGTATACCTATGTTCTACGGAACATATGGACAGAATTACCTATGTCTTTCGAGACATATGGACAGTATACCTATGTTCTACGGAACATATGGACAGAATTACCTATGTCTTTCGAGACATATGGACAGTATACCTATGTTCTAAGGAACATATGGACAGTTTACCTAGGTTCTTCGGAACCTATGGACAGTTGCCGAGGATCTTTATGACCTCTGGATAGTTACCGAGGTTCCTTGTGACCTCTGGATAAGTCCTTCGGGACATTGATCGAGCTGTAGTAACAGCATA